ATGACCCTGAGATCATGACCTGAGCCAAAACAAAGAGTCAGATGCATAACTGACTGAGCCACCCAGGTGCCCCTGATTTATTTATCTTTTAAGGATTTTCTTTATTTGCGAGCAGGTGGGAGGGACAGAAGGAGAGGTAGAGGGGAAGTAGACTCCCTGCTCAGCATGGGGCCTGCCGAGGCAGGGTTCGATCCCACCCCCGAGATCATGACCTGAGCTGAAACCGAGAGTGAGAGGCTCAACCGACTGAGGCACCGAGGCGCCCCGATTTATTTTTATACTTGTACACTTAAAAAAAATAAAATACTTTAAAAAATCAACTCTACCCATCGCCTATACAACCACTGTAGGACAAACCATGTTAATTTTCTAAAAACACTTTTTATTAAACTTATTTTTGGCTTTTAAAAATTTTTATTGTGATAAGAATGCTTAACATGAGCTCAACCTTCTTAATGAATTTTTACGTGTAAAATACAGTATTGTTAAGTATACCATAACATAGTATATAGGTACAATGTTGTACATCAGGTATCTAGAACTTACTCATCTTGCCTAATTTGCAGAACCTCTCCCTAGCCCTGGCTTCTATGAGTCTATTTTAGATATTTTGTAGAGGAGGAAAACGTTTTTTTCCTGCCCTCTTAGGATCCCTAGCTGGGTCTGAGAATTAAACTGACGAAGACAGATTAACAGGAGAAAAACATACAAATTTATTCAATAGAAGTTTCACATGACATGGGGGCCTTCATAAGGAAATGAAGACCCAAAGAGATGGATCTGTGCATTTTTATGGGATGCTGGATGAGAGGAGGCAGACATGGAGGCATGTGGTAGGTTAAGGAGTATGAGGTAATTATAGTAAGCTCAGTGAGGACTGTTCGTTAGGATTCTTCGGGGTCCCACTGTCTTCAGAGACAAGGATGCTCCATTCCTCTGGGTACGGGGAGGACACCTCTGCAGGAGGCTTCTAGGACACCTGTTTTCAGGAAGAAAGGCTGGGGGGGGAAGTCAGAGTGGCCTTCCTGCTTCTGCTGTTCTCCCAAATTCCTTCAGCTTAAAATATTCAATATGCCAATGTGCCATATTCTGGGGTAGTGTGTCCTGAGCCCCATCAACCTCAAATAAGTGGAATGTGCGGTATTCATCCTTCTGTGACCAGCCTGTTTCACTTGGTATAATGTCCTCAAGGTTCATCCACGCTGACACCTATGGCAGGATCCCCCCTTTATAAAGGCTGAGTGATATTCCATCGTATGTCCATATCACATTTTCTTTATCCACTTGTCAGTCCATGAACATTAAGGTTGTTTCCACATCTTGCAATCCATCTTAATTTCTTAGCTAGTCTACTAAAACGTCAAGCTAACTGATTTTCACTTTTCCATTATCAGCCCATCAATGCACTCTTCATAATGACACAGAATGAATTAAAAAAAAAAAATTGCTCATCAGCTCTTTGATTTCTGGATACTTTGGAGGGATAAATACCCTGAAAAAAAAACATTCCCACGACAAAACTAAAGAGGAAAAACAAACATCTTTCTTAAATGCTGAATACTTAGCTGAGCTAGCACATAATCAGGGAGGATGAAGGGAATACAGGGAAGGTGTGGTATAAAGAAAAGCTTGGGAGGGAAGCAGGCACGGGGGGCATGGTGGCCTGAACGACATTTGCTGGACCCAGGAACTTAGCCCTTGGGTTCTTCAACAATTTCATTGGGAGGTGGGGGGTAAAGGGACATGGCCTTGGATGCACACAAGATAGAGTTAGAACATCAGTCTGCGCAGGGGCTGGCTCTCCTCTGTGAAGGTGGAACCACAGGCTTGCCCTCATACAATATAAACTGAGGCTTCAATTTATACTGAATGTTCTAAGAAACCACAAGCTGAGAAATTAACAGACACACACCCTTTCTGGGCAGCGTACCGCCAACCCCGGCCTTCAGGATTTCCAAAGGAACACAATGCAAAACTATGGAACAGCACAGAAACCTCCATGAGGGAGAGTCAGCAAAAACAAACAGCAAAGGTAGACACCTGAAGGCTTGAGGACTGAATTTAGAAGCAGAGTATAAAATAAGTAGGGGTTAAGAAGTTTAACAACAACAACAAAAACCCAAAGCTAGGAACAGATGCCATCCAATAAAGATCCTAGCAGTTTGAATAAACAGCAAATAGCCCATCTAAAATAAAAATATTATCCTTGAGGGGCACCTGGCTGGCTCAGTCAGTAGAGCGTAAGACTCTTGACCTGGGGTTGTATGTTTGAGCTCCATGCTGGGTGCAGAGATTACTTAAAAATAAAATCTTTTAAAAAATAAATCAAGAGGGACACCTGGGGAGCTCAGTCGGTTAAATGTCCTACTCTTGGTTTCGGCTCAGGTCGTGATCTCAAGCCCCACATCAGGCTCTGTGCTCAGCAGGGAGTCTGCCTGAGATTCTCTCTCCCTCTCTCTCTACCCCTCTGGCTCATGCTCTCTAAAATAAATAAATAAATCTTTTTAAAGATAATAAATAAAATATTATCCTCGATATTAAAAACTCAAGAGATTCATTAAAGAAATATTTCTGATTTTACAGAAAAAAATAAAGACATGACTTGGAATATGTCACTGAGAGAGATATCCACCTCCCCTCCTCCCCCCCGACCCCAAATCCCAAGGGCTGAGACAGAGGACAGAAGGTGTGATAACACACACACTTGGGAGTTCAGCAAAGAAGACACAAGAGAACGTAGGACTGCAAGAGAAGAGTAACAGCACTTTTTCCAAACTTGAATAAAAGGAATAAGTTTGAAGTTCGGAGAGCATAACAAAGCCCCAGCAGGCTAAATAACAAGAAATCTACATCTAGACACGTCGTAGTGAAACCACATGGCACAAGGAACACAGGTCTTAAAAGCAACCAGAGATTTAGATTACTTAAATCACTTTCCTGCTGAAAAGTCCTCCATGCCTTCATGTTGCCTGGTTAAAATTAGGTTATTCCCCAAATTTCCATCCAAAGATCACAGTCTGTAGTCTAGAAAACAAGAATGGAAGTGACTAATGAGTAGAAATTTCCAGTCTCCATCACAGTTTAACATGTCTGGCAAGAGTAAACTACTCTTGATGTTTGATTTTACTTTTTTTTTTTTAAAGATTTTATGTATTGATTTGTCAGAGAGAGAGAGAGAGAATAAGCAGGGCGAGGGGCAGTGGGAGGGAGAAGCAGACTCCCCGCTGAGCAGGGAGCCCGATGCGGGACTCGATCCCAGGACCCTGAGATCATGACCTGAGCTGAAGGCAGACGCTTAACCGACTGAGACACTCAGGTGCCCCTTGATGTTCGATTTTAAAAAGGACGTTGGATGATGGAAACATAACAGTGTTCCCAGAAGGAACGGGAATATTCTGGGCCACCAGTGAGGGGTGGGGTATGGTGAGGCAGGGTGACTGGTGCCTGGCTCACACTGCCCTCCACGCATCCCATTTTCCTTTGTTCTTGCTGGTACACCAAACAAGAACATCCCATCGATTCACTGTTCGTGCATTTTAGCCTTTTCTCACTTCATCCTCAGAGAAGTTTCTTTCCTGTACATGTGAAACACAAAACCAAATTCTACAACGCAGCTGTGCCCTCCTTTGCATGCTGACATTTAAACAACATCACGAGAGCTGCTTGCTTGGGACAGCAGCTCAGAACCACACAACTTCGCGGATAAGAATGGAGGGGCAACAGGACACGTACTGGGAAAAATGTTTATTCTCCTTGCCAACATCTCTTTCAACATTTTATTAACTAATGAAAAATGACAATCAGAAATAATGTGGTTTCATATTGCTTTTAAAGAGCTGTAAGAAAGTAGCTATTTAGAAAAAGGAGGCCCATCAGTTTTTATAAAGAAACATTAGACGCATTATGCAAAGTGAGAATCCCATCCCACGGGAACACATGATCGAAGCTCAGACTAACAAACACTCAAACAGGCTCTATTCACACTATAGTTCTCCACTTCTCTTAGAAGAATCTTTGTTTCTCAGACTCTTCCAGAAGCACTTCATAATAAACAAAGAGGTCTGGCCAGCTCGTTTCTTCATAAGCTGAGGTCTGACAACACTGCCACATGTTGTGGGGAGAAGGGGCTTGACCTCTGAGACCAATTATCTTTGAGTTGTTCCAGTCGTACAGACAGAGCTGAGAGAGGGTCAAGGCAAGTGACGAAGAGAAGCAAATGCAAGACGCCTATCACCCACTTCAGCAATACAAGCTGCAAAGTGATCCTCCTGCCCCCACTTCACAAGACCGAAAAGCTTAATGAGGAAGGAACCTGTATTGTTCCTGAAATAATACAATCCTTTCATTTTGTTTGTTTTTTAAAGTACAGCTCTTCAAGAATTTCATTTTTAAGAAATCATCTGTAAGGGAAGAAAAATAAATGTACTTAATTCAAACACCAATTTTTAACACTGCCATGATAAGCAAATGACCAAAACATCAGGCCAGGTTGACAGGTTCCAGAAGACCCCAGCAATAGGGAAAACTGCCTAGGTTTGGTTTCAGGCACAGCAAAAAGGACGCCTGCTTTTTCCTCATGTCCTTCGCCACACCGATGGGCTCACCAATGCCTGAAATAAATTCTGCCGCTGTCCTCTGCCTTCATTATCGGTTTTCTCAGGTTGCCAAGGTGCTGGGCCTGCCTCACTATTATTCTGGGGACAAGCAGGTCTTCCCAATTATTTCCCCCTCTGTGTCAGTGAAGTTAAGACCCTGCCCTGAGAACAGGTCTGAATAAGGGACGAAGGGCACTGGGCAGAGATTAGCTCTCATACCAGCAAATTCAAGATAAATCCTAACGGTGACATTAACCTGACCCACATGACAACCGTTTGCCAGATGTCTGTCAGAAGATATTCTATATGCATAGATGTAAAAGATGTTACCACCCTCTGTGGGAGACACCAGCACACACCCACCAATGTCCCCAAATGAACAAATAACAACAAACGAGCAGAACCTTCATAGCATGGTTGAATCCACTCTTCTGCTTACTTACTTTTAACCCAGGTTTCTGATCCTAGTCATGTACTTCTCTGGGTTGGCAGCACTCATTACTGTAGTATAAACTGTGTAGCTGAAAACAATGAGAGGAATTTTTATATGCACATCATTGTCTCTAATATTCCAAAGAGGAAAAAAAAATACCAACCTAACCCTTGGGACCTAGGAAAATAATACAAATAGAAGCCCATATATGTCAAAATGTTTAAAATTTATAATTCAAGTGATCACACGGCATCCTTCCTTTCTATTTTGACAACACTATGGAAGGCCATTTTCAAATTTAAAATTTCTCGGACTCCTCCGAGTTTCACACTGTGGCAATGAAGAAGAGGCATCCGTTGGCCTCACCCCTTGCTCTGCCGTATACCACAAGTGGAACGTGTATGGACACCTCAGCTTTTGCATCTAGGCTTCAAGCACGACTCCAGGAAAAAGCCATGCCTTGGCCACCCACCAGGCATGGGGTGTCAATAGTGGCTACACTCTGCCATCAGGAGAACACCACCCAGGATAGTGGATCACACAGGCCCCAGAAATAGCTTGCTCTTCAGGCTAGGTACTTGGGCCAGACTCACTAAGTAAATGCTCCTGGCCCAGTGGATTCCTTATATCAAGGGAGGGTTAGAGGAAGGCCAGAGAAGAGCCTCTAAAGCTGGGGGATGAAGTTAGGGGGCCCATTTACCCAGATCTAAGGATGAAAAGCACAGTGTAATTTATTCAACATACTGCATAGCAAGAGACCAGAACAACATGAGTACATGCACATGCATGCACACACACACACTAGGACCCCTTCCCCTCACTCTCTTCATCTAATTCTTGTCCAGGACACCAGCTGGAATGCATGCTCAAGGCATCTGGAGCTGGGTTGTTCAGGATTAGGAAGAATTAGTGGCCCAAACTGTACACCTGGCTGAAGACAGCTATAAGTGCATGCAGAGCTCATCCGAGGGTAATGGAGATTCCCTGAATAAGGACTTCAGCTGTTTATTTACTTTGGTCATCCATCGCTATTTTAATATTTTCTCTGCTTACAGCCACATCAGAGGATGGAGTTCTATCGCAGGTTAGTGTAATTTTGTAGCACAGCACAAGGGGGCAGCATTGAGCTGTTTCTGTGGAGATTTCTTTCTGAACTCACAGTGGACAGCCTTGGTTGCCAGGAATCATTACAAGGAAAGGGCCTGAGAGTCAGGGATCTATGTTAATTCTGGCCAGCGGTGAATATCCTCTAAATGCAGTTCCTCGGGGCACCTAGGTGGCTCAGTCTGATGAGCGGTTGAGCATCGGTTTCTTGCTTCAGATTCTTGGCTTCAGCTCAGGTCAAGATCCCAGGGTCCTAGGATCCAGCCCAGCTCAGCAGGGGTCCGCTTCCCCTCTGTTTCTCTCCCTCTGCAACACCCCCCACCACCACCGCTCGTGCACTCTCCCTCTCTCTAAAATAAATAAATAAATCTTAAAAAAAATAAATGCAGTTCCTTTTGGGTTTTCAATTACACAACAGAGAAAAATATTACTTGGTTAACTACAATTTCTAACAATTCTATTTCAACAAAACATTTCATATGCCATTTAAACATTCATAGCCTTTAACTCAGTAACCCTACTTCTGGGAATTCAGCCAGGGAAATTAATCCAAAAGTAGGGGGGGTTGGGGTGCATGTACAAATATGTTTATTTCAGAGTTTTAATACAGGAAAAACTAACAACTGGAGAATGCTTAACTCAACTATGCAATATATTCAATTGGCTACGGTGTACCTATTTAAAATTATAAGGGCTGTTGACAGCATGGGCAATGCTTTTAAAAAATATATCAACTCTTGGGGTGCCTGGGTGGCTTAGTCAGTTAAGCATGAGTCTTTGGCTCAGGTCCTTATCTCAGGGTTCTGGGCTCCAGCCCTGAGGGGCTCCGGCTCAGCAGGGAGTCTGCTTCTCCCTCTCCCTCTGCCGCTCCCGTCTGCTTGTGCTTTCTCTCTCTTAAATAAATAAAATCTTTAAAAATTTATAACTATTTTAATACTAATTTTTTTAAAAAGATATAATCATTTATATAATTATTTTAAAAACTATAAGAACACACAGAAAAAGAACATCCCTATTTTTAAAATGAATATTAGAAGGGCAAAATTGTGCCCAACTAGAAAGGATACAGTCATTTGTTGTGTGGTGGAAACGGCTCCTACAGGCTGGTGAGAGCCAAAACTGTTACCCATGCAGGAATCAATCATAAGCTTGAAATAGACCAGCTGGGAGTCTTTACAGCATGGAAGTCAATAAATGCTACAACTGAAGGGGGGGGTCTTTGTTTTTTGGGTTCCCCTCATCCTGCACACCCACCCCCCCACCCAAAGAGCTAGTTTACTAACATAACATTGGGTATCATTATTACCCAAACAGCTCATTTGTTAGAGTGGCGAAGTACTGACTAATTTGTTTTTCTGTATTGGCTGTTAGAATATTGTTTACAGAATAAATTTTTTAGTGTTACTCTTTTTATCAGGCCATACTTACAGAAAAAAACTTTCAAAGGGACAATTTGAAGATATATTCCTATTATGGTACAAAATGAAAAGGATACCACCAGTTTTGAAAATATCTTAATAGCTAAGGAATCTTAAAATACCTGTATACAAAAGTTATTCCAGAGGCCATAGGAAAACTATTTTGTGTTTGTGTAAAAGAGGATCATTTCAAAGAAAAAGAAACATCAGTTGGGTATTTGAAACTAAAAATCGCTTTACAGGTTTTGTCTGTATTAGGCTATTTCCTGAAGAGGACCATTTTGATATTCTTGCCTTGGAGAAAGCAGATGTAAGAACACAAGAAGGTAGGAAATGCTGGGTCTGGGAATTTACTGAAGTAAAAGAAGGAGATAAAACATCTTTGACTTGCAGATGCTTCCTCTTTCATTTCATTAAATTAAGCCTCACCTCACTAAGCAAAAGAAGGTGTCTGTGCCCCTAAGGAGCTAATCCTAGGTGCCAGGCAATGAAGCACCACCTTGAGGGGACAATGAAGAGCAGGCTGTTGGTCTTGACTGGGGACCTTCAGAGTTTCCCAGGCAAGTCCTGTGGCTGCCTCTCAGGTTTAATTAAGAGCTTCCCATGACAGGAGTAGCTACCGCCCAGGGGTTCATATCAGAGGATGATGTGGGCTGTAGACCTGAGAAGCCGCTGCTCACACAATGCTCCTATCAAGGGTATAGGCTAAAAAAGAAAGAACAGCTTCGATGCTGAATTATCTGTAGACGGAGCACGGTGGTAGCAGAACGTCCCAGGAAGTTAAAGGGAAGCCAGCAGTGTCTAAAGTTTAGTTCTAACAGAGTGAGATTAAGGCACTCATAACCAGGGCAGGTGGACCGAATACCAGACTGATTTAGGATGAACACATCACTGCCCTCCTCCTTCTGGATCACTCTATCCTCCTTACCTTTGTTTTTCTTCATGGACTTCTCATCTGACTTATGATATATTTGTTTATGCGCTCCTCCCCGCCTCCTCCCTATACCCCACCAGCAGAATGCTAGCCCCAAGAGAGCAGAGACTCGGTTTGGTTCACTGCTGTACCCACAGCACCTAGAAAGCCTGACCTGTAGGGGCCCCCAGAACCCTGCTGAGCCAAAGAGTATGGGAGTGAGTCCCCCATTCTGGGGTGATGTATGAACAGATGCGTTTAACATGTCACTTACTTGTTACACACCGGAAACACAGACAAAACCTGCAAAGGAAAAAATCATATTACAAAGACTGTTAAAAGGTGGAAGAAATATGTAGAATATCTATAGGAAGAATAAAACTACCTAACACTCTAGCATGTCTTGGGGTGACAGAGCTACAGACTTTTGAATCCTTTCTCCTTTTAAACAATGAACATACACTGAAACAAGTTCACAAAATGTCATCGGACTTTTTAGAAAGGTTTTCAACTGGGTGAAACTCTGACTCCAACACTGTCATCTACCACATCTGCCTGAGTTCAGAGATTTCGGAGGAGATTCTTTTTTTTTTTTTTTTTTTAATCACGATTAACAAAGACAGCAGACATCCTGGGTAAGAGCTGGACATCACGGCACAGTGAGTTACCTGGAAGAGCGTCTCCACGCTAAGGTTTGCCTGGCCCGTGGCATTAAGGGCTTTGATGGCAGGCGTTCTAGAAGGAGAAGGGTCAAAGATTACTTGGCACTTTAGGAAATGCCATCAGCTCTCATACTGGGAGCCACCGTACAAGGCCCAGCTGCCTTATCTCCCTTTCACCAAAGCAGATTCCGGCCCCCAAACATGCTTCTTGCCCAGTCTCAGACCACCATGGTAAAATTAATTCAACAGTCAAGCCCACAGGTACCATTTGCTCCAGGAAGCTGGGTGGGTGAAAATGTATTGCTATGAAATTAAATATTTGCCACCAAACACGTGCGGCAGTAAAGCCAGGAGGAAATACCTAACTACCTGCTGTTTGGGGATGCATGGACTTATAAAATGTTCAAAATTAGAAGGGCCACGGGCGCCTGGGTGGCTCAGTCGGTTAAGCGTCTGCCTTCGGCTCAGGTCATGATCCCAGGGGTGCTGGGATCGAGCCCTGCATTGGGCTCCCTGCTCAGCGGGGAGCCTGCTTCTCCCTCTGCTGCTCCCCCGGCTTGTGCTCTCTCTGTCTCTGTCAAAGAAATAGATAAAACCTTAAAAAAAAAAAAAAAATTAGAAGGGCCAAAGAAAGCCCCTAACTGATTTATTTATTTATTTATTTAAGGGGAATGTTTTCCTTCCCAAAAAGTCTTACATAGAAAACCATGATTCTTGTTCTACCCTTTCTTTTTACAGTTGAGTAAACAGAGGCTCAAGGGGCCACCCAGTGAGTCATCAGCAGAGCTAGTGGTAGAATATAGGGCTCCTGACCCTGAGGCCAGGCCAGCCTTACCCTCCAACACCCAACCAACTGCCAAGAGCCCTCCCCCCACACACTCCACTACACACTACAGTCTCCCATCCCGGCCAAGACATTGGTGAGGGGGCCCAGGTACGTTTTCTGGAAGGGGGTAGCGCCTCTAGTCCTCTCTGGTTTTCTCTCATAAAAAGGGCACATTCTCCTGACCCCAAGAACACACTGTAAACCGGCAGGGGTATAGAGGCCTACCTTCGGTCATCTTTCTTAGGTACTGGCTTCCAGTGGTCGTAATTTGTCTCCACCCGGAACCACCTGCAACAGAGCACATCATCTGGTCTTACCCAAGGTCATTTGGCACATAGCTAAGGAAGAAAAATATATAAAAACCTCTAGTTTCCCCAGTTGAAAAACATTATTGATACAAAATGACCAGAGTCTTAATTCTACTCACGCTCCATTTAAAGGATCTAGAGGCCAAATGTCTGCTGGGCCATTTCTGTTCCTCGTGATGACTACTCCCTCCCGGGGGGACGTACCACCGACAATATAATAAACATCAGCAATTAGGGGAGTCTTGGCCAGTTTATACACAGCTGCTTCAAAGTTTTCTGACTCACTCAGGGTCTGAACAAGAAGACAAACCTGCATTAGCATCATCACCCACGGCAGTTATCCACACCAACTGATGGACAAATGGGCCAAAGCACATTCTCCTGACAGATTAAGCCATGGCTACCATCTCAAACTGATCTGACCTCATCTTCCTGTCATCAGGGCTCCCGAAGTGGAAGAAACGTCAGTGGGGAGTCGACAGCAGCTGGACTTTTCTCACAAAAGGAAAGAACTGTTGACAAGTTCTAGGCCTGGCTCACCAACCATGGGCCACGTGCTTTCTAGGCAGGTCACCTTCACAAAGGACTCCCCATGTTTCCTCATTCATTTGTTCTTTCAACAGGTCCTTTCTGAATACCTACTACATTTTAGGCACTGTGCTGGTGTGGAGACAGAACAGTGAATATGACTGACCTAACCTTGTTCACTCCAAATTTCCAAGAATGACACGAAAGTCAACGGGCAGTGGTGACACAATGTACAGAGTGTCACCATGGAGAAGCAGTTGCTACAAAAGCCATAGCAGGGGACCCACCCTCACCCAGGGCATCAGGGAAGCATCCTGGGGAGGTATCGCACAAGCTGAGGCCAAAGGGACAAAGGGAAGTCAGGCTGGGGAAAGTGGTGGTTGTGGGGTTGGGCATGGGGGTGGGGAAGACAGTTTTGGCTCAATGGAATAGTTCAGCAAAGGCTTGGAGATGGAAGACAGCATGCTACATCAGAGCAGTAAGCAGGGTGTTCAGATACCCCCGGGGGTTCATGAAGACTTCCAAAGGTCTGTGGCATGGACAGTTAAGGGGATCGCTTTCCATATCTTCAGCTTCCATAGGTGCTCTTTGCTCAAGCTGATCTGCTCAAGAACGTCCTGGGGAAGAGCCTGCCCTTCCCACCTGCATCTTCAAAATCACTCTTGGAAAGTACGTTTTCTGCTCACCCATCCTGAATACTGCCGAGGCACAGTGTCAGGGGTGGGGGTAAAGTCAAACAAAAGAACAATTCAAAATATTAGTGTCTGCAAAGGTGCCATCATTCAGCACCATACACCATCAACCTGGGGCAGGGCTTTGTGGGCCCTCCTCTCCCGTATACATCTTACTATTAGGGGGTGAGGTATTTAGGGTTGAACTGGTTGGTTCTGAACTCAGCAAAATTATAAAGGGAGGCAATAGGAGTCATGGAACGCTGTTTTATGTCACCTACACCATCCTGCACCAACTATCAAATAATTCGTTGCCTCTAACAGAATCCTATGAGAAAAAAGCCAAAGAACATCAGTAAGAAATACCGAAGGTGGTGGTGACTTGCTTCATTCAGGTGGCAGAGTCAGGGTGGGACATGCACCTTATCTGTCTGGCTCAGGAAGTGATGGAAATGGGTGGTGACTGCTCATGGGTACAGGATTTCTTTTTAGGGGAATGAAAAGGTTCTAAAATTGATTGTAGATATGGTTGCACAACTCTGACTATACTAAAACCAGAGAGTTGTATAATTTAAATAGATGAATGGTATGGCATGTGAATTGTATGGCATTATACCTCAATTAAATATACACCTACCTTATGACCCAGCAATTCCACTCTTAAGCACTTACTCAACTGAAATGGACATACATGTTGACTAAAAGCTTTGTACAAGGATTTCTATAGCAGGCATATTCCTAATGGCCCAAGACTGGAAACAACCCAATGTCTATCAATAGGAAAATTGTGGCATATTCATACAACTGAATATTCTTCAGTAATAAAAATGAATGAGCAAGTGATCCAAACAACATGGATGAATTAGAAAAGCATTGGGCAGAGTGAAAGAGAGAGTCTGTACTCAGGATTTCATTTATACATATTCTAGAAAGGCAAACTTGTCTGTGGTGACAGAGGTCAAAGAGTGGTTTCACTGGAGGAGGGTGTCAGAGGAGGTAAGGAATTGTCAGGAAGGGAACAGGAGGGAAATTTCCAGGGACTTGGAAATGTTCTGTATCTTGTTTTGTTGGTGCTTACATGGGTGGATAAATGAGTGTGTCCAACTGCCAAGATACATTGAACTAAACCCTTAAGATCTGTGCATGTCACTGTATGTAAATTTTATCTAAAACATTTAAAAATCATTTTGCTGTTACATTCCACCAGACAGATCTAAATTCCAGTTTCATTTTTAAATGGCAACATTCAAAATACACTTTCATCTTATGATGAAAAGTTTTAGGGACACCTGGCTGGCTCAGTTGTTAGAGCATGGGACTCTTGATCTCATGGTTGTAAGTTCGAGCCCCATGTTGGGGTAGGGATTACTTAAAAAAAAAATGTTTTATTTAGAGGTCATCTTAAAAAGATATGAAGTATATGGGGTTCCTGGGTGGCTCAGTCGGTTAAGCGGCTGCCTTAGGCTCAGGTCATGATCCCAGGGTCTTGGGATCAAGCCCTACATCGGGCTCCCTGCTCAGCGGAGAGCCTGCTTCTCCCTCTCCCTCTGCAGCTCCCCCTGCTTATGCTTGCTCGCTCTCCCTCTGTCAAATAAATAAATAAAATCTTAAAAAAATGTTAAAAAAAAAAAGATATGAAGGATACACAGTTTGTCAACATCTTTAGGAAGTACCCAGGTAAGAGGTTGAGGAGAACTCCAAGTCCAGAGGGACTAAGATCATTTAGACCTAGTCGAAGAAGGGCCAAAAAGGTTGAAGCTGGGCAGGGCCAAATCCTGCACCAAATGTGGTCAGATTACAAATTAAAATTTATACGTGGCCTGGAACTCTGCTGTCTATCTAATAAGTCATGTAAAGTAAACTTTCTTTTTGTTGTGTGCAGAACTACCTTCTAATGCCTTTGTTTTGCTAATTCTGATATTTGCAAATGGAGATTCTAAAAGGAGGGTACATTTTTATCTGCAGAAAAAGCATACCGTTATCTCTTATCTCAATCAGTTATCAAGATTAGGCTATAGGCTAAAACTGTAGCCTGTAACAAAGATTCTCTCCTTAACCAATCTTTGGCTAGGCTCCCCTGAGCCCTCTCCTTGATAAGGCCTAAACCTTGGCCTATAAGGACTTGAACAAACATAACAGAGTTTCTAACAGCTCAAGGCTACATCCCTAAGGTGACCCTAGCCCTTCTAGTGCCTGCCTGAGAAAATAAGGCTGCCCAAAGAATTTACTGTTTGTTCCAGCCAGCACTTAAAGATAGGACCCGTTTTCCAGTCTCTGCAGGAGGGTAGGAGGCTAACTTTGATGAGCACCAGTTAGCAACCCCAGATACGCCTGACATGGACAACCCCTCTTTTATACTTTCTGCAATTTTTCACTTCTCCCTCTCTAGAGAGACATCCCTCTCTATTCCCTCATATTCCCCTTAAAACACCTGGTCACCTCTGTACAAATCTAAGTTGAGTTCAGTTCACCTTGGACATTCTTCCCTACTACAATAGTACACTACTGATTAATCTGTCCCTACCACTGATTTCTTTTTACTGAGGTATGACTGACATGTAACATTATATTAGTTTCAGGTGTACAATGCAATGGTTCAATATTTGCATATATTGCAAAATGGTCACCACAATAAGTCTAGTTAACGTTCGTCACCATCCATAGTTACAAAAAAATTCTTTTCTTGTATGAGAACTTTTAAGATCTACTCAACAACTTTCACTTATGCGATATAGTATTATTAACTATAATCACCAGGCTGTACATGACATGCCCATGACTTATTTTATAACTGGAAATTTATAACTACTCCTTTAACTAGTGTCTAGCTCTGTTTATCTTTGATACTTATTATCACAAAGGCTGATATGCATTTTGCAAATCCTTAGATGCCTATCCTTTTTAGGAGCTTCTTACGTGAAAGATAACATTGTTAAATGACACAGAGCATTACAACATGAACCCACAGAAGATTAAGTTAGGGTGTGCGGGGCTCAACAGTAAGGTACTCACAGTGCGGATAAGCCAGCTGATTGGATAGTGTCTCTGGAAAAGGGCAGCGATCATGTTCTCCCACCACCAGCCTTTGTCTGCCGAGTTGAGGAAGAAACAATAAGTATAAATACGAATTGTTGCCCCAGTTCCACATTTTAAAATTCCTTATATCTTATTTCTTTCCCATAGTACAAGCTGATGGGAGAGAAAAGTTGGTGGATGAAGAGTGATTTTACTGGCATCCAGTTTTCAAAGATAAAGCTCAAATTTCATGGCACCCATAGAAAAATGTAATTTATATATATACAAATTTCTAGCTATTTGTTTTTTTTATTTTTAAAGATTTTTATTTATTTATTCATGAGAGACAGAGAGAGAGAGAGAGGCAGAGGGAGAAGCAGGCTCCCAAGGAGCAGGGAGCCTGATGCGGGACTCGATCCCAGGACCCTGGGATCATGACCTGAGCCAAGGGCAGACGCTTAACCATCTGAGCCACCCAGGCGCCCGAAATTTCTAGCTATTTGGAAATATTCTGTGTGTGTATACATGAATGTTCTGTATACATATTTTACATATACATAATCTTTTGTGCCTAGAAGCAATGATAATTACGTGAAAGGAAATAATTCGATTAATCATCCCAGGCAAAGCAGAATTATGTAGCTATCAAGAGAAGTGGCTCAATAAGGATTAGGAAGACTACAGAGAATATACCTTTCAGAACTTTAAGTTTGATTTGGGCTCACATTTTTTTTTAAAAAAATACAAATTTACAGTCATTCTCTAAAATTATTTCTTTTTAACATCTTAAAAAAATCTTTGTTGGGGATTTATTTCCAAAGAAATAGTTTCATTCAAGACATAAGCACTGAGCATCTACTATGTGCCACACTGTGATCTGGTCCAGTCCCTTGGAATTTAACGGCAAACAGAAGTAATTAGTGTGCCATCAAGCACACAAAATTTTGCTAACTGTAATAAAGAAAATAAGACAGAATAATCGTGAGTAATGAGGGAGGGTTCTTTTTGAGAGGAATGTTGAGGGTAGCCTCAGTGAGTTGTAGACATTTGAGCTAAGATGGGCAGAACATTCCAGACAGAAGGCGTGGGTGTCAGGGCCCTAAGGCAGGGACAAGCTTGGTAGGTGTCAGAAGAAGGAAGATGCTGGTGCCCGTGGAACGAGGGAGAAGGAGACAGGCATAAAATGAGGTGCTGGAGGTGGCCACACAGAGTTCTGAGGTCAGTCAGGACTCTGGAGTCGTTAGGAACGGAACGGAAATTCAGTGCAGGTTTTAAACAGGACACCAACCTGGGCAGGCCAGCTGCTGGGAAGAGAAAGAATTAGCGGAGGGTGAGAAGCCATGATGCCACACGAGAGGCTGCTCCAGCAGCGCGGGTATGACAGCAGCTGGCCGAGCGGTGCGGGTGGACAGGGCAGTCAGGGACAGGCCGGTCTGCGTGGTGGAGCTCAGACCCACGGAACAACCGGTTCAAAAATTCTCCTGGTACAATCAGTGCAGCAGAAAGAAGTGCTGTATCCTGAGACACGGAAAAACCAGGAGAGGAACAGGTTTGGGGTGGGGCAGAGTGAGGGCAAGAAGAGGGGAAAAGAAAAAAGCAAGAGCTCTGCATAAGCATGCCAAGGGTGAGGCCCCTAGCAGCCAACAACATGGAGAGGCTGAGAAGGTGGCTGGGTGTTCCAATCTGGGGCTCGGAGGTCAGGCCCAGAGATGGGACAATGACAAGTAAGTGCTCCACGGCCCCTACTCTGTGCCAGGCACCACTCTGGGAGCGTCACATCCATGAAGCAGTTCATCCCCATCCCCTGCTCTCCAGCTGAGGAGACCGAAGCACGGGGTCAACACCGCAGTGGCGGTCGCCGAGCAAGCAGGTGACAACCCCACACAGATACCGGGCAGGCTGGCTCTCGAGTCTGAGATCTTACCTGCCAGGTGGTTTGTTAAGCCTCCCCAAACTCTACGCCATTTATTGGTCCCCCTCATACCCCTACCTTTTCTGGGGAGGGGGGTGGTGTCAGAGGCCCTGCTGGCATTCTCCATAATGTCCAGAAAGTTAACTGAATGAATATCTTATCTCTATTGGCAGAGATACCTTACCTTATTGTTCAGGCATTTTAACTCCATCTTAGCAGACTAAAATAGAGCTAGTTTTCATTAAAATAAGGATAAAATAAGTATTAAAAAGGCAGTTTGACAGTATTTAGTTAAATGTGCATGTCATAGAAGAACTGCAAATACCTTAGGTTCTACTAATTAGTTGTTAAACAATTTGAGTCACAAAATGATGGAAACAAAGCCCACCCTTTAAATATACACTTGTTTACGGACATTTTGTGTAAAACCTTAGTAACTGTCATCTGTGGTCTGAGTACCATTGGTTGAGAATCAGTCTCACAATGGGGCACCTGGGGGGCTCAGTCAGTTAGGCAGCCGACTCTTGATTTTGGCTCAGCTCATGATCTCAGGGTCTTGAGATCAAGCCCCACGTCCAGCTCCTCACTCAACGCGGAGTCTGCTTGAGGATTCTCTCTCTTCCTCTGTCCCTGCCCCCTGCTCTTTCTCTAAAATAAATAAAGAAATCATAAAAAAAAAAGAGAGAGAAAATCACTCTTACTCATAGCTGACTTTTGAGAAAATGCTGAAGAAACCCATTAGGATAAAGACCTGACTACTGGACACTGATAACATACTCAGCCAGCAGCCTCCTGTTAAAGCCTTATGTAAAAAGTTAAGAACAGGCCTAACCAAAGGATACAGCAATGTGAAGTCAATTGGGTTCGTCCAATGACCAACACTAAACTTTAAGTCTTTCTTCTTAGCTCAGCTACAAGTTCCTGAGGACAGAGACAAGTGTTTGTGGACCTCTGGGTTTCCCACGCTCTGTGGAATTGACTGATGTCCTTGAGACCTGGGGAACTGCAGCAGGGTAGTATAACCAACAGAGCAATTGGGCCAGGACCCGGGAGACCAGTCTGAGAACAACCTTTCCACTTCACCTCCCAGCCTCAGCTTCCTCTTCTGCATCATGAGTGGGGTTGATACTATCAGCCCTGCCTGTCTAACAAGACTGTCCAGAAGGTCTACTGAGAAAACTGACCAGAAAGTGCCCAGTAAGCTGTGGAGTGCTTTATAGCTATTGCCTGTAGGAAGCCATCACATAGCCTCTACACGACTGCAAGAGCTTCCTAACAGTCTTCTGCTTCCATGTTTACCCCCACATGATCCAATTTCTAGGTAGCAGCCAAAGTGATTCACTTCCTGGCCTAAAACCCTCCTAGGGCTTCCATCACACTTAAAATCCAAACTCCTCAGTCTTCCTCTCCACCTCTAATGCCAGTCCCCCATGCTATAACCACACTACCATCTTTTGTTTCTAGAATCTGCCAGGATTGTTTCGTTTCTAGAAATCCCCCAGCTTCTGCAGACCTGGCTCCGGGATCACGGGACCTGCAGTAACTGCCCCGCCCTGCCCTCCGTTCTCTATCACATCTTCCTGTTTTGCTTTCTCTCTGTTTTTTAAAATATTTATTTATTTATTTGAGAGAGAGCGAGAGCACGAGCAGGAGGGGCAGTGGAAGAAGGAGAGAGAATTCAAAGCAGACTCCACACTGAGTGCGGAGCCCATTGCGGGGCTTGATCTCAGTTCCCAGAGCCATGACCTGAGCTGAAACTGAGAGTCAGATGCTTCACCGACTGCAGCACCCAAGCGCCCCGTTTCACGTTCTCTGTAGCACTCATCACTACCTGAAATCATCTTCATTGCTTATATGCACACTGCCCATCTCCCCAGACTAGGCTGGAAGTCCTTGCTATGAAGTGTAGTCAGGATTCATCTATATGTTCAGTTGGGGGAGCAAATGAAGTACCTGGATAGAACTGACCAGGAATATGGCTAAAAATGCTCAGGAATGTGTTTTGATTACCTCGTTCATCGCCAGAAACTGTAAACTTGTATGGACTCTGACCAGTCCATAATCCTACATAGCCAATAAATGTGGTTCCTGTGAATGCAACCTGAAATCAAGAGATAGGTATCATTTTGCCATTCCCACCAAACATATATTGAAATCCTCTGTTTTGTCCCCCTCATGGATTTTTTTTCTTATAAGTTCCAACATAATAAAAACTCTTAAATAGCCTTCTGGAAGGTTTAACCTGGGGGTTCCATGGATAGAAATCAGTGGGTCTGTGATCTTGCATGGGAAAAAAGGTACATCTTTATTTTCACTCATTTCTAACTGAAATTTCACTCCTTCAGTAATGGATGCACGTAACAAATCCTGTACTCACAGCAGAGCCTATGATTCTGCCACCATAGACATAGCAGATATTTTCACATATATAACGCTATCATACCTACCTTGACACGGTATAATTACATATCCTGAAATGCCACTCATGATTATCATTATGCGAGTTATTAGATGCACAGCTAAAATTTACTATTTAATGTGTTGAGAAAAAGTATAACATTGAAATGGCTATATTCCAACATAACTGGTTTTCTTTGTAATCCATACATTTTATTTTGTGTATTATAAAACATTCTGAGAAGGGATCATAGGCTTCACCAAAGGGGATCATGCCCTAAAAATATTGAGAAACTCCATCCTAGAAATAGCAAATGGGCTTCGATTAAAAACTTGTGTTGACTTGATCATAAGTCATGCATCTTATAAGCTCTGTGAGGTAAGAGGAAATAAGTGAGATTGTTTGTCAGTCATAATCATATTTAAATTTTAAATATTAAAAAACTATTTTACATGTACCTCTCATGTAATCCTCATGGTTATCCCATGAGTTATAGGGATCACTTCCACTTTAAATTAAGGTAACAAGGGCGCCTGGGTGGCTCAGTTGGTTAAGCGACTGCCTTCGGCTCAGGTCATGATCCTGGAGTCCCGGGATCGAGTCCCACATCGGGCTTCCTGCTTGGCAGGGGGTCTGCTTCTCCCTCTGACCCTCTTCCCTCTCATGCTCTCTATCTCTCATTCTCTCTCTCTCAAATAAATAAATAAAATCTTTAAAAAATAAATAAATAAATAAATAAATTAAGGTAACAAGCTCCAATGGTTGCAAGACACCACTATAGGACTATGAGGAGAAAAATCACACTCTAGCAGTTACTGCAGATACCAGATTTCATTTCTTTAAAGAAATACTTAGAATGTGCCTGTTCAATAAAGGTTAACCAATATTTTTTATTTTGAGAAACAAATAGGCCTGGGTTAATATTTTTCCTTAGAAAGCTGAATTTTAGGGGCACTTGGGTGGCTCAGTCAGCAAAATCGTCTGCCTTTGGCTCAGGTCATGATCTCCGGGTCCTGGGATTGAGCCCCACGTTGGGCTCCCTGCTTTGTGGAGAGCCTACTTCTCCCTCTCCCTCTGCATCCCCCCCTGCATGTGCATTTGCGCGCGCGC